TGCTGCCTGCTCTGGGTCAGCTGACTCTTCAGTTAGCCCTGACCCCCACCTGCTGGTGGCTCAGCAGGCTGACTGACCTCTTAAAGTGGCAGGTACATCAAGTGATCTGCCACACTGCATCAAGGAACTCTACTGGCATAAGGTCAGGGGAGTGTACACAGCTGGTCAATGCTCCACAATATTCATGTACTTACCTCCCTTGGCATACCACACCACAAGACACTCCCCCTATTAGCTGCTAAAACTTCCACAACTGACAGGTGTTATCATGAGGCAGCTGCCACTAGTTCCCTGTGCTTTCTCCTTCTCTGTGCCTATGCAAAGTACAATTGCTCTTCTTTTTTTCTCTTTGGCCCAGATTCTGCTAACCTTAAAACTGCATGAGCTAAACCCTAAACAGGGCAAGATGGAATGGAGGGTCCTGACGTTTTCTTCCATTGCAACATAGTATGCAAAATGCTGAAAACCCTTAGGATAAGGGAAGTCACAAGACAATCTTAAGTAGCAATTTAAGCTAATTGCCTCTATCTTACTGCACAAATAAGATAATCTTACTAACCTATACCTTGATGCCACAGCTTAACTGTTCTTTTATTTGTTTTATGTGGCTGCCCTTGATAGCACGGCAAAAAACAAGATGTTGTAAGTAGTGACAGGAAGATTGCTTCCTGCAATTCAAAACAGAAGTTCATTCATTTCTCATTACAAATAGTTGTAAATGTCATCCAAATCAGCAATATACTGTATGGTAAGACATCCGCATTTATTCTCGGTTAAAAATGATGCACCCAGTATTTGACTCAAGAATGAGGGCTTACATTCCTGTCCTTGACAATTTGGGAACAAGCTAAAAGCTACACAGCAGGTGCAAGATAATATAATTATCCTTCTTTGGAAGCTATTTTAAGTTAAGTTTTCTCAATGCTTCAAGCCACTTTTCTGTGAAATTTTGTTAACTTCCACAAATTGCACTGGTTTAAAATGTAATAATTAGGAACATCAACATGAGAGCTTCTTGTTTTGAATCGCTTTTCAAAACAAAAAGCAACACAGCTTGTTTTCAGGAAATAGTATTAGGAAAATAAATTGCTTACTGCCAGATCACTGTAAATGTGGTCACCAAAATACAGGACTCTGGAACCCCTCCAGCCAGTAAGCTTCAAAAATTCATATAAGTTACCCTGCAGAACAACAACAACAAAACATGTGTACCAAAACAGCATCCAACATTCCTGTTCATGAATAATGAGAAAACATGTTTAAAAACAAATTTAAAAACCACACTGAAACGTTTTGAATTCCACATTATACATACCATTTTTACTACAAAAATGTACATAGAATATGTATATTACATATGAGTATATTGAAAGCCCACAACAATCATTCCATTAGTGAAATATTTCTCATCCACAGTTTAATCTGATTTTAAAAAATTATGAAGGTTATGAAAGACTTAAGATTCTGGCAACTGGAAATTAAATTTATAAAAGACAATGAGAGAATGTACTGTAAGCGTACATACCTGCTTATATATCTGGCCTTTCTGCAATTTGTGAATTTTGTCCCAAAGCAACACTCCCTTTTCATTCACCTTCCGAAAAGGTCTTAAAAAAAGGAAGATAGAAACGTCTGCCATGCTTGTCACAGTGCTGAAGAGACTGCTTCATCATATGCCAATCTTTCAGCAAAAGAATCAGTTTAAGTTTTAACTAAGGCCTGATAAATCTAAATGTATTTTGTAACTACTGGGCCTTGATTTATAGCAATAGACAGCCAGACATTATCTTGTATCTTTTTCATATACATAAAATATTATATATACAAATATAAAAAAAAGTTAAAGAAATTTTGCTCAGTTGTTGTTTTCCCTTAAGTTCCATAACTAGCTAGCGCAAAAGTCAGGAGCCTGACCTCCCACTCAGTAGCTTCATACTGCCATCCCTGAGTCAATAAGTATTAACTCGGAAGGGAACAAAAAGAAAATTGGGAATGACATATAGATGAGATTCTTTAATACAGGGATACAAGTTGTAGCTGTATTGGTCTAAGGGTATAGGCAGGCAAGGTTCTTTAGGTAAATCTGGTATCTTTCATCAGATCAACTAAAATAGTTGGAAAAATTCTTTGCAAGTTTTCGGGTACAAACATCCTTCATCAGGCTGAGGAAGCATCCCCTTCCCCCACCTCCCCACCTGCTTCTCACCTATTGACTGCCCAACAGTGAAAATGCAAATTGAGGCACTCTCACATACTGGCCTCTAGATTCCATTCTATTCCATCCAGAAAGAGCACAAGCCAACTGCAGATGCTTCCTCAGCCTGACAAAGGGTGTTTGTACCCAAAAGCTTGCAAAGAAAATTTTTTCCAACTATTTTAATTGATCCTTTAATATAGGAGTGTCAAAGATCCCGTATGGATCCTGAACCAGCTGGGGCAGGCGCTGCATGTGGTGAGGGTCCCAGAATGGGTACTATGTGTAGTGGATCCAACATGGGTGGTGGAAGAGAGCAGGGGGGTCCCATGGGCCCATGGACTAGCCTCATGCCACTCATCCTGCCTGTGGAGCCACATGAATTTAATACCCCTGCTATGTAGATAACTGACATGTACATATAGGGAAAGAACATGCTTTGAAATGTAACATTTCCCCCTCTTCCCTCCTCCTACCGAGAGGAACTGACTAACTGAATCATACTGCAGCAAAGAAAGACTATTGCCCCTAAACAATATTAAGTGTAAAGGAATTAAGGCTTTCTAAAAAAAACCAAGAGAAGGCACACCAAGTTGTTTTACTTTTAAGACCTGCCTGCCCTAATACACCAGTGATTCTTAACAATAACATTTCCAATGAAAGCCCTGAAAATGTGCTGAGTTCCCTAAACCTAACTGAAAAAAAGGAAAGCATTCAAGATGTGATAATAAGGAAACAGCACTCCCTCACTCCAGCAGTCCCATAATAGATATCTGAAATATAAAGCTGGAAGTTGAGGCTCCAGAGGCTTGTATTCTTACACTTTTCCGTGACTTTAAAAAGAAATTGTATATGATGAAATCTCACTTATAAACCTCCATAAATACAATTTTATATACAGAGTAATATGTCTCACACCCTTACATAGAGTGGATTCCTAGAACCACATTGGACTGGCAAAATACTCACCTTCTCTTATCATTGAAGAAGTTTGGCTTGTCAGCCTGTACAATGACAACATCAAAAAGATCTCTCCAGTCCTTTCCAACTATGAACTTCATACCCTTGTCCCTATAGAAAGCATGGCAGCATTAATGAAATACAGCAGTAGTGAGCTAACATTTACGATAACACAGAACACATTACCCTCATTTTTATGTTTTAGAAGTACAGTTAGGTTGTGGCAGCTCACTTACACAAAGCTACTTGGACTGTTCGTGATGAGAAACATTTTCTTGCCATGGTCAGCCAGCTTCGCTAACACTGCACGGGTCTGCTCAGCATAGCAAATGTACTTTTCTAGTAAAAGATATTAAAATTCCATAGAACATCAATTCAAAGAGAATACTTGGCTACATTCACAGGAAGCCATATTTAATTAGGAGAATCTTATAAAATAAATGTAAAATGCCAAAAAACTTTATTGTATTGCAAATTCTAGAAGGGAGATGAAAACTAAAAGGATAATTAAAACACAGAGAAAAATTATCCATGTTTAATCTCACTGGTACTTACCAATATCTGCCTCAATTGCTCTGTACATTATTCCTTTGATGTGTACATCCCTAATTGAATCCTGTCAGGATAGCAATACAGCATTAACAGTAAAGACCAAATAAAAACATTTTTTGAAATCTGAATACTCTATTCACCTGTACCATGCAAGTAACTTTCTTTTATAACAGTTATTCTCTTTGAAAAACCAGACTGGAAACAGAATAATTAGCACAGGCTAAAAACAAAACAAAACCAAAAACAAACAAACAAACAATTTATTCCCTTGAGGCATTCACTAGCTATATGTCACTATTGCTCTATAAAGCAGCTTATCTTCCAAGATGCTAATTTTAAGGCTTCCTGGAAGCATGTAACTTGAAGCAGCAGGGTCAATTAGCTAAAAAACATTGCAAAAAGAGAACCTTAAGGGGTAACATGAGGCTAAAACCCTTAGGAAAGCCCCAGTTACACCAAATTTCTGTTGAGCTTTGGAGTACAACGCATTCCTCTCCTGCAGAAACTGAGATCGTAATCAGATTGATCCTAATTGGAAAAGCTCTCTCAACTACCCTGTCATTTAATGAGATTTATGAACAGACAATAATAGCTAAAACCTTAAGAAACAAAACTAGAATGAATTTTAAAAGCATTTGGCTGGTTTCCTCATCTGGATCTATAACACACTTCCTCGTAATACAACATTGCTACCATTTTGTCACTGGTGTAAGCTACAGTCCAGGTCCTGTCAAAAGACAACACCAAAACTTAAAGCCAAACAAGAAAACAAAAAATGATGGAGAAAGAAGCTAGAGAAGAGGCAGAGCCTTGGAAACTTCAGAACTTCTGCCAAAGAAGTGATAGCTAAATAATATAAAGTTATTTGGGAACTGTAGAGTTTGCCAAAATGTTTCTCATCCATTAGGGAAAGTGCAATGGAATGTACAGTTAAGTTTACCACTCACATACATAGCTCAAGAGATGTAGGCTGTCTTAAAAATTGTAAAAATGAGCAGACTACAAAAATAATAATGTTAAAAAAAAAAGCTATAAAAAATAAACTAGAAACAACAGACTGCCTTCAAGAGGAAAGATCATGAATTTCTCTGGTGCTATATTCCTATGAAGTTATTCTTTATTTCCTCTTTATCAATTTTAGTCTTTTCCAGGTACTTCTCTAGGAATCAGGAGGCCTGAAGAGCTCCACTCAAAGCTACCATAACGGGTAAGGTGTGTGTGAGGGGAGGCGAGGCGAGGCAGGGGGTTCTAAATGCACTTCAGACTGGAAATCCCATTTAGTATTATGCTGCTTGCTAATATGGAACGGCATCAAATGCACATATTTAAATACTGATCCAAACTTTCTCTCACAAGAATGAGTCTCTTGAATCTAGACCTCCTTCCCAATCTCCTGTCAACAAAGTTCCACTCAGCACAAATCCCCTGCAGTCAACTATGTAAAACTGTGGTTCCATAACAGACTTAACTAAAGGAGAAACAGAGGGTTCAAGCTTTTTTACAGCCATAAAAACACAGGTGATGGAAGTGTCAGCAATCTCAGCTAAAACTGATACCTTGACATCTTTGTACAGATGAACAGGCTCATAGTCTATGTTGTTCTTCAGAAAATATTCATTCACACAGGAAAGGAGAGTCATCTCTGGCAGAGAGAATATATCCATGAACTGTTTCATTGTGTTTCCATGTGAGCTCTGCAAATAAAAAAACATCAGAAATATTTACCAAAATGAAGTCCAATATATGAGATGTGTCCTATTAAGTACAAATGTTTTGTTTCCATTACTTAAATCAGAATTATTTACACTAACAAAAGGGAAACACCAAACAACCAATCAGATGAAGTTAAAAAACTGTCCGACTTTTAACCAAAAATTCCATGGATGAATAAGGATACTATTTCATTTAAAAATACACACAAACTAGGTGGGGGGGGGGTGTTTTCTTTTGGTTTTTTTGCTGTTTAAAAGGGGCAAAAATCAAGTGAAGGTTCTTGGACCCATTTGTCAAGAAGTTTGCAATCTACATCCCCTCCAGAAAAGGTACACAGTATAAAGACAAAGAATGATACGACAAGCTAACAAAACAGACCACATTTCAGAACATTTTGCTTCCTTGAAGTGAGATGGTGAAAATCAAAAAGATCTTGCAATAACGACTACACACTAAAAGGAACACACAGTAATAACGTTTCCAACAATTGGAAGACCTTAACCCAACCACTCCCAAACCTACCCCTCCCCACAAAAAATATGTAGAAAGCCACTAGACATGCTTGGCTTGAGGTTACATACAGGCTAAGACCAGGTAGGAAAAAAGCAAAAACAAACAAAATCCCCCCAAACCTTCTTTAAGACAATGCCATGAGGAACACAAAACATTTTTCAGGATATTCACATACCACAGTCTAGTTTTAATGCCTTCTGACAACATTAAAAGGGAACATGTCAGCACCACTCATTGACCCTAAAAGGGTCAATACACATCCCTCCCTAGCTAAATGAATCACTTGGTGCAAAATGACGGACCTACCACTCAACACCAGGCCTTTTGGTGTTACTGAACTGAGCTGTGTGAAGGAACAATGGGGAAGCCCCTTCATCTTTCTATGTTTGTTTCCCATCTGTAAAAGCAAGGTGATAATTCTTGCTTTCTCCCACTCTTTGTCTACCAATTTAGACAGTAAGTTCTTCAGGGTAGGAACTTATGCTGTGTTTGTACAGTGTATAGAACAAAGTACTTGGGCATTACAGTAATGCAACTAATAGGAATATTTTTTTAAAAAGAAAAATAAGTCTTATGTATGATTTCCATTTGTTTTCTAAAAACACAAGTAGCTGATAATTTTTACCTTTCCATAAAAGTCACTCATTTGTTCCAACGGGACATGGGAACCATCATACATTGCAATGACTTCTTCATCCGGAACAACACTGAGACCCCTGGCAATACCAATATTAATTTCAGTTCTAAAGTTCATCAGATATTTCAAGCAATTATTGCATGATAGCCTGTCTGTACAAAAACAAAAACAAAAAACCCAACAACTTGGGCCCCAAGCTTCCTAAAATACTAATACTATATCAGAGGATCTCACGGGTTTCATAAGGAACAGCTTGGTCTGTAAATTAAGACAGACTCAGATCTTGCCAAATCACAAACAAGTAACATTTTAACAAAGTTGACGCACATGAAACACATTCCAATTTTAAGCTCTTTTTTCTTTCTTCAAAAAAAGCCTATTAGCTTCCATTAAAACTAGCCAGGGCTTGTAAAGAGTAGTTAGAGCTTCTAGTTTTTCAACAAAGCAATTCTCTTCCCTGTCTTTGTTTCATAAGGCATTGATGATGCGATAGTGTTTAAACCAGATTATTCTGCGGTATGACCTTGAAAGACTGAGGGGGAAAAAATGGAACTTTTATTACTAAATGAAGTGTATTGAGATTAAAAAATAAACTTTAGTCTCATTGAGTTTTAAATGATAATTAAAGGATTTGTGACAAATGTTAAATACAAATTCATAATATGAAGGGGTAAGAATGTCCTCATTTGTCCTCTCAATTCCCAAATGGATCATTATTTAACTCTTATAGGTTTTTCTTCTTCCAACTAACACCCTTTATTGGAGCACATTGGATATATCAATACACCTCAACATCTGGGTCTTGTTTCCAACTGTCCCCCAGATTTCTTGCAGAACCTTATGCAAGGCAGCTGACTTCAGTTTCTTATCTTACCTTAAGTGCTATGAGGCTTAATAACTACTGATGATTTTTTAAAAAAAATAATTATAGATTCTATCAGTATTTGAGAATGGAATGCACTACTGGAAACAAAGTATTTGACATTATCCATTTTGCAGCAGGGTCAGGGAAAATGAGACATTATTTGCCCAAGGTGCATATAGTCACTAACAGAGCCAAGAACGGAACCATTGAGCGGTGATTCCTGTTCTAACCCCTGCACAATTTTGCCAAGTACTTTTGAGAATGGGTCATTCTTGACCTGGAGGGATGTGGGCAGTGGGG